TTCCCTGCTGGGGGTGGAGGGTGTGGCTCCTCCCAGTGCATCCCAGTCCCTCCCAGTGCCTCCCAGTCCCTCCCAGTTCTCTCCCAGTTCCCTTCTGGTGTCTCCCCTCCTGTCCCAAACCTCCTCCCTTTTCTTCCCCTTTTCTTCTCCCTTTTCTTCTCCCTGCCCAGTCCGGGAAGGTCCAGGATGAGCCCGTGGTCCCATTCCCTGCCCAGGGTGGAGGGTGTGGCCCCTCCCAGTCCCTCCCAGTGCCTCCCAGTCCCTCCCAGTTCCCTTTCTGATGCCTCCCCTCCCGCAGTTCCGCAACTTCAAGATCATTTACCGGCGCTACGCGGGGCTTTACTTCTGCATCTGCGTCGACGTCACCGACAACAACCTGGCCTACCTGGAGGCCATCCACAACTTCGTGGAGGTCAGGAGACACCCCTGGGCTCTTAATTAGCCCGGGGAACCCAGCCCTTAATTAGCAGACCAGCCTTAATTAGCATGGTCTTAATTAAGGACCCCCAAATACCCCCCCCCCGCAGGTCCTCAACGAGTATTTCCACAACGTCTGCGAGCTCGACCTGGTGTTCAACTTCTACAAGGTGAGAGTCCCCAGGCTCCAGGCAGGGCCTGGGGGGGTCTTTGGGGGGTTTTGGGGACCCCCCTGAGCTTTGGGGGTGCCCCCTTTTCCCCCCTCAAGGTGTACACGGTGGTGGACGAGATGTTCCTGGCCGGGGAGATCCGGGAGACGAGTCAGACCAAGGTGCTGAAGCAGCTCCTGATGCTGCAGTCGCTGGAATGAGCCGGGACCTGACCCCCCCACCCCACCCCAAGCCTTGTGTCCCCCTCCCCCAAACCTCAGGACCCCCCCATGGGGTGTCCCCCACCCTCTCAGGACGTGTCCCCAGCCCCCCACGGGGTGTTTTTCCCCCTCCGCTCACATTCCAAACCATCGTGTTGTGAATAAACGTGGCCGTGATGTGTTGGGGGGGGGTTTGGTTTAATTGGGGGGGGCTGTGGTGGGATAGGGGGGCAGGGGGGTCATTGGAGGGAGAAGAGGGGAGATGGGGGAGCCCCCAAACCTCTCTGAGACCCCCCCAAAACCAACTTACCTCTCTGAGACCCCGAAACCACTCTGGGACCCCCCAAACCCTCCTGGGACCCTCTAAACCAAACTCACCTCTCTGAGACCCCCCAAACCCTCCTGGGACCCCTCAAACCCAACTCATCCCTCCAGGACCCCCCAAACCCCTCTGAGACCCCCCAAACCCAACTCACCTCCCTAAGACCCCCCCAAACCCCTCTGGGATCCCCTAAACCCCAATTCACCTTCCTGGGACCCCCCAAACCCCTCTGGGACCCCCCCAAACCCTCCTGGGACCCCCCAAACCCCAATTCACCTCCCTGAGACCCACCCAAACCTCTCTGAGACCCCCCCAAACCCTCCTGGGACCCCTCAAACCCTCCTGGGACCCTCTAAACCAAACTCATCCCTCCAGGATCCCCTCAAACCCCTCTGGGACCCCCCAAACCCCAATTCACCTTCCTGGGACCCCCCAAACCCTCCTTGGACCCCCCAAACCCTCCTGGGACCCCCCAAACCCTCCTGGGACCTCTCAAACCCAACTCATCCCTCCAGGACCCTCATTGTCTCCAAGTGTCCCCAAATATCTCCAAGTGTCCCCAAATGTCCCCAAATGTCCCCAAGTGTCCCCAGGGCCACCTCTACCCTTCCCCCCTCCCCAAGGTGATGCAAGACCCCCCCACAGCCCCCCCCAAGGCCTTTCGGGGTGGGGACACGTTGTGACACTTCCTGTGACCCCCCCCTTCCCCGTCCCCCCCCCGTCCCCAAAATCCGCTGAGGTGGCAAAATCCTGCCCCAAAAAAAAACCCCAAAAAACGGGGAGGGGGGCCGGGGGGCTGGGGACCTCCAGGAGGAGGAGGAGGAGGAGGAAGATACAGGGGTCACACCCCTGTGCTGACGCTCTGGTGGGACTCTCAGGATGATGATGATGATGATGATGATGATGATGATGATAAGGAGGAGGAGGAGGAGGAGGAGGAGGAAGATCCAGGGGTCACATCCCGATGCTGATGCTCTGGTGGGACCCCCATGATGACGATGATGACGATGACGATGGCCAACGATGCCAACGAACCTCCCCCTTCACTCCCCTGTGCCCACGCCCTGGTGGGACCCCCACGATGATGACGATGATGATGACGATGAGGAAGATCCAGGGGTCACACCCGGGTGCTGATGCTCTGGTGGGACCCCCACGATGACGATGATGATGATGGCCAACGATGACAACAAGCCCCCAGTCCCCCCTCACATCCCTGTGCCCACACCCTGGTAGGACCCCCACAATGATGATGACAATGAAGATGAGGAAGATCCAGGGGTCACAACCTGGTGCTGATGCTCTGGTGGGACCCCCACGATGATGATGACGATGACAATGACGATGGCCAACGATGCCAACGAACCTCCCCCCTCACTCCCCTGTGCCCACGCCCTGGTGAGATCCCCATGACGATGATGATGATGATGACGATGTCCAGCTCCCCTCACACGGCCGTGCCCGCGCTCTGCTCCTCCTCCACGGTGGTGGTGCCGCTCTTGCTCTTGCCATCACCGGTACCGGAGACGGGCTCATCCCCCAAGACCCCCTTGAGGACTCCCCTCCACGACCTCCTGACGCGGGCGCGGAA